ATGACATGTTGCATCACCAACTCCATCTTTTATTGATAATAAATGAAAATAATAGCTATGATGTTGATGATATAGCGCCGACTCTGCCAGATCTAAAGTTCCATGAAAAATTCGGCGCGGAAAATCACAAATAGGAAAAAGGTCAGATTACAAGTATATATCTGAACCTTAAAGAGATGCCTGACTATTTTAGTAATCAGAGTTATAATGCTTCTAAATAGAAGTTTGTACATTTGTTTTATGCACAAAAAATATGAACCACCATCAAAAATTTTTTTTCACGTGGGCGATGAGCTTGCTCGGACCTGCAAAAAAAAGAATGGTCCAGCATCAGTATAATCACTGGTCATCCTCCCCAGCCTACTTTGAAGTTGCTCGAACCTGCATAACCATTTGACAAAAAACAGCTTATTTTCTTACTAATCCCTATATGAACTCTAGACATAAACAAACTCTCTATAGTAAGCAATTAGATGCAGAGCCTTTTTAACAGTAGGTCAAGTGTTGAAAGGCAAGGATGAATATTATCTTGTGCAGACTCCATCGCACGAGGCTTCAAGAACGTTGTGGTCAAACTTTTTTGCCGTGGAAGGTAGTAGCTTCCCCGCCGGAGGCAGGAGGCCAGCACTTCCTCGTCGTATCTCGTAGGAACGGATATCGGTGGAGTGCTTCTTTGTTGGATCTCACATGGAAGGGCATCCTCCTCGTCGGAGCAGGGGAGGACGCCCTTGCATTAGCCTCGTCGGCGGGAGCAGCGTGATAAACAACGCACGTCTCTCCAAAATTAACAACGAAGCGAACGAGACGGCGCTGGACGCAAGGGGGTGATCATAAACGTTGGCAACTATGAGGTGGTTGAGTCTCCCTCATTATCAACTTCATACACGTTATCAACACGCTCTACCAAGAGCGAATGAGAGACGAAGACATTCCGGCGAACCCCGATTCCGGCCACCACGCACACCCATGTGCTGGAGCGATTGAATAGGAGGAAGGTAACCAGCATGTGGAAGGGACGACACATGGAATTCCTCCCGAAGATTGCCGATCATGGCCTGATTGCTGGAGAAGTCGACTTCCACGCCGCTCATTACAAAAACATCAATTAGGAGAAAGCAAAATCATTGTCTTCTGTGATTAACCTTAATGATTAATGATTAATTTGATTGTTTTCACTTGTATGCTATGCACTCACGCGAGTCACTTCCATCCGAGCGTGAGAAGAATTCATCTATTCCATTTCCACTTCAGAAGCAAGACGACACCGTCTTCAGCTGGGAGGAACGTACAGAAGGGAATTAGGGATGAAGATTTACCTGGGAGTCATGCACGGGAGGATCAAGCGGTGCATACAACCATGCATATACCAAAGTCTTGATCTAATTGGTATAATAATCAGGTGCTTCTTTCCTATTTTAATACCTTTGGCTCTCGTCATTGAGGCGCACGCAGCAGCATAGATGCATCCACATCGGCGCGCCCTAGCTCGCCGAGCAACACCCGCAGCCGCGTTCGCCTCGGCTCCGGCAACATGTGCACCCGCACCACAAGCCCACCATCGCAACATCCATGCTTGCCTTGGCCCTCTGTGCGCGACGACGGCTCCTGGCGGGCTATGGAAGCGGTGGCGAACAACCGCTTACAGCGCGACAACCAACGGAAATGGCTGCGGCTCCACACAACTTGTCTCCAGTGCATACGCGCATGTTCGTGGCTCCGCATCTTGTCGCCGGGCGGTTACATCCTCTCAAATCCGACCAAGGGATCTACGCCGCGGCTGCCATCTAGCACGGCGGGAATGTCGTCATCGACGTCGTCCTGGTGCTTGGTCTTGTCGAGCATCCGGGTGTATGTGTCGTTGACGTTGCAGAGGCCTGGATCAAAGAGGATCCGATCTGAGGCCTCTCATTCAGTCATCCTCCTTCCCGATCAATGTGCATCTCTGCGAGGAGAATGGGAGCTAGGAAAGGAAAGAGAACGTGAGAGAGGAACGGGATTGGCATCCATGCATGGGTTTCTGTTTCTCAGTTAATTTCCTTCCTTTCAAGTGCGAGGGAAGGTGTAGGGATGTCTTCGCTCGGTGGGACTAACAAGAAGAATTGACGATTTAAGGTAAGGTTAATTAATTTAGATTTAATCTTTAGATATTGATCGTGATTGATTTTTTCACATAAATGCATTACTAAATAATTTGTGCTAGCATGGAAAGTTCTGACCGGTTTAGATTTTTTTCATTGTGTGAGAGGGTGACGCGAAACTAAACCGGTGGGGTGGGGGGCGAGACGAAAAAAAGCCAGCGAAAGTGGTGGGACGAAAAAAACCCAGCGAAAATAAACCGCGGAGACGATTCACCAACTCATCCATTAGGAGTAGAGATGGGACCCTTGCACTATATTTTCTCCTACCACTAGTAGAAAAAGGGCCTATTGTCCCGGTTGGTGAGGGCCTTTAGTCTCGGTTCTGGAACCGGGACTAAAGGGTCGTTACTAAAGGCCCCCCCTTTAGTCCCGGTTCTTATACGAACCGGGACTAAAGGCCCTCCACGTGGCCGCTGCCTGGAGGTCCACCTTTAGTCTCGGTTGGTAACACCAATCAGTACTAAAGAAAATGTTATGATTTTATGATTTTTTTAATTTTTTCCTGATTTTTAAAATTTTGAATTATTTTAACCTCTAATCTCTAATCACCCCTCATCACTGCTCAATTTAACCTCTAATCTCTAATCACCCCTCATCATTTCAAATCATCTAATTTTCCGAACGGTCACCCATCCTCTCACTACCCCAACCTGAGCACGCTTAACTTTCGGGTTCTATTCTCCCTCGTTTCCAAGTCTGCACTTGTTATTTTCCTGACAATAGTAAGATGTCAATCCTATTAACCCTCAGGAATTTAGCTTGAGCATGATGTCACACATTCCACTTTTTGAGTTTAAAACTATTGTTCTAAAAACAATGATTATTTAGTTACACTAATATTTCCTGAATAAGTAGTTTGACCACAGTTTGACAAGATTTGACCAAAATTCAAAAAAACTGAAATAATTATTTAGTAACACTAATATTTCTTCAATAAGTAGTTTGACCATTGTTTGACCAGATTTGACCAAAATTCAAAAAAACTGAAATAATTATTTAGTAACACTAATATTCTTGAATAATTATTTAGTAACACTAATACTTCTTGAATAAGTAGTTTGACCATAGTTTGACCAGATTTAATGAAAATTAAAAAAAAACTGAAATTTGCAAACGGGCCGTAGGCTGTCAGACTGAAGTTTGACCATAACTTTTTTTCCTTTTTAGAATTTGAGGATTCTAAAAATTTGCAAACAGGCCGTAGGCGGTCAAAATTGGATGCGCATTTCCATGCTGAACATTTTGATATATTATACATTTTTTTCTGACATCGTATGCAAAAGTTATAGCCATTTTACATTTTCCTTACACCTTTTGCAAAACATGTCCGAATTTAAGTTTTTAAAATTTCTAACTAGTACTTGTAGTAACTTAACTACATGAAGGATTTTAATTTTTGAAGTTTTTATCATTTTCTTTTGCTTTTTACAAAACAGAAAAGGCGACCCGGGGGTAGAGTTTGAAAATGGGATCTTTAGTACCGGTTCGTGCCACGAACCGGTACTAATTCCTCAAACCCCATTAGTACCTGTTGGTGACTCGAACCATGACTAAAGGTCTAACCTTTAGTACCGGTTGGTGCCACGAACCGACACTAATGGACATCGCACCCTTTAGTCCCGGTTCGTGTCACCGACCGGAACTAATTCCTGTACGGTGCCCTAGCCGCTCGAACCGGGACTAATGCTCACATTAGTCCCGGTTCGTAATGCAACCGAGATTAATGTTTTTTTGGCCGAACCAAAGCCCTATTTTCTACTAGTGTACGCATCTAACATCATTGTACTTTTTTCTTCTCGTGATATCCTAAACATCCCCCCCCCCCAACACACACATGACAACATAATAAAAGGATTGTTGTATGCAGCATGTATGCAACAAAGTATTCCCTCCGTCCGAAAATAACTGTCGCCCAGTCTTTTTAAGATGGTGAGGTTAGAGTTTCTCGACATGTGGTGAGATTTGGTGTCAGGTGCTTCAGATGTATGCAAGGGTCCAACGGCGATAACTGCGGCTCCAGGGCGCTGATCCTTAGGGGCACGTGCATGAAGACTTCCCCGTTGTCATCGACAAGGTCAAGCCGGCTCTGGTAGGGGAGCGGCGACAACAACGCGTCGGCCACTCGTTTTGGAATCTCGTAGTGGTCTCGGAATCTCGATGTAGTTTTAATTATATTTAAGATGCTTTGTACTTCTACTGTTATAATAGATCTGATCCTTCTCGAAAAAATGCAGGTCATAAAAATTTCACCTAGTAACCTCGCAATTTTTTTTTACCGAGTAAAAATATCACACTTATGCACAATGAAAACCAATGTTTGGAGATAGAAAAAAAAACATAGTCACGGCAAACGCGTCGCAAGCCCCTACACGGCTGTACCCGAGCTGAAGGCCCAGCCCATCTATACGTCAGGCCAGACCCAGCCCCCGCCGTCACAGCGCCTCGCCGGCTCCCCCCACCGCCCCCACCCGAGCCCGCTCCCCCCCGCCTCGCCGCTTTCCCGGCGCGCCCCGACGCTCCCACCCGCCGCCGCCGCCGCCGCCACCAACCCTCGTCGGCGGTTCCCCACGCTGTTCCGCCCCCCATCCCGCCCCGCATCGCCCGCCCCCCCATAGG